TGTCGCGTTATCACGATGCTGAAAACCCTTCTGAAACTACGTATCAGATTATGAAATATTATTCTTTTTAAAGTAAATTCGTGAATAATTATTCTACATGTACAATAAAAATTTCTAATGATTATCAAAGGTGGACGAAGACCAGCTGAATAATGATAATCATAATTATACTCGTCTTCGTCCATCCCTTCTCTGATACAGAAGATTCGGATCTTAACGTGATAATCCTCTAAACTATTGTAAAACAAAAATATATTACTCCAATAGAAATTTTAAATTTTATTATGAAACACATAGTGTATATAATTTTTGATATTATGCTACCTAAAATCCATAAATTATATTGTTTTTATGTTCGCATGTGACAAATAAGTGTTATATCTATTATTGTACATGTATTGCAACATAACAATACACAGTATTTTAGTATTTATCATTTCAGGAAATTGAGAAGATATTTTCTTGAAAATTATCGAAAACCGTACTGTACACATTTAAGTACTTATTGCGTTGGATTACTAATTGGATCCTTTCTATCGAAAAGACAAGAATTGAAATTCAAAATGGTAAAATTTATATAATTTTTAATTTAAAAATTCAAATTTTTATGATATTTTTATTTCGCTAAAATATTACAAATTATATTTAAATAAAAGGTAATTTTGCAACATGGTTAGGTGAAAAAGCCTTTATTTGAACTGACACCATAAGAACATTGATGAGTATATTGATATTACTTCTTTAAATATGATTTACATACGTAAAATCTGTGTAAACTGGATTCGCACGGTACCGAAATTTTTTCGGGTTAAGTTTCCGTTTGGGACAGCACACATTACTTACATACATATTGCAGAGTACAGGTTCATGTTCAGGTTCAGGTTCAGGTTCTTTATTGCCGTACAAAGGTACAAGCCCGGTACCGCATAAGCACAACCGGTTTGAAAACGCATACAACAGTAAAGTTACAGGAATAGAGTACATAACATAGCATAACATGATATTCGATAAAAATCAATTATATACATGGTATGAAATAAAAGATGGGACTGTAGATACGGAGCACTATATACATAACATGATATACAAAGCAGTTTAATTGCATACTAGAGATCGCGTAACAAATAAGAATGACTTTATATACAGGACATTGAATTGGAACACAATATACAAGACAAGTACATGTCAACGGTCAAATACATAGTGGAATTGCATAGCAATATGAATAAGTTATAAGTGGTGGTATTTATGTTGCTAGGAGGTGCTAGTTGAAACGTTGAGAGCTGCAAGTTTACAGTATTTGTTGACTAGCTGATTGAAGTAAACGTAAGTGGAATGTTCGTTGATCAACTCGTTGCAACTACAGGGCCAGTCCTTTCCCCGAGAGTTGATTATAATCTTTAAATGTTGCCGCTCAGCATCGAGCATTGGGCAGTTGAAAATATAATGAAGTGCTCCATCCTGAGTGCCACAGAGGGAGCATGTATTGTTCGAGTAGTTGGTAAATCTGTTAAGATAGCAGTGGAAATTACCATGGTTGGTAAAAAATTGCGATGTGGAATGGTTGAGTTTCAACCATTTATAGTTATAAATGTCTGAGATATGCGGGAAGAAGTTATTGGTAATTGATTGACGGTTGTTGTTCCAGTCATTCTGCCAGTTTTCGAGGAGATTGTTCCAAAGGATGTGCTTTAAGGTGGAATTGCTCATATTATTATAACTAGTGGTGAGAGTGAGGTCAGTGGCAGCCTCCTTTGCTAGTTCGTCTGCCCGCTCGTTACCAGGATTACCCTGATGTGCACGAGTCCAGTTCAAGAAATATTCATTGGTGGAATGACGAATAGTGCAATAAATATCAGTAACTAGGTAGTGTGGATGTTTGTTTTTAATGCTGGCAATTGTGGCTTGACTGTCAGAGACGATGTTTATACTAAGGCCAGAGAAATTATTTTCACACCAGTGTATGGCGGCATTTACAGCAAAGAGCTCAGCCTGAAAGACTGAGCAATGGTCGGCAAGTCTGAGCTGTTTGTGGAAGATTTCATCTTCGTCCCTATATACCACAAAGCTGCATCCAACATGATTATCAACTTTGGAGCCATCCGTAAACACTTTGCAGTTGTTATTAAAGTTCCCATTAAATTTAATTGGGTTAAGATCTCCAGGGTAATGAGTAAGGTGAAAGGGAGTGGACTTCTCCAAGTCATTGGCATTAATTGTGTAGGAAGGGTTGATGTTAATGTTTTGTCCCCACTTGACATTCCACTGTTTGTAATATAAGTCAATAACTTTTTCAATTGGCGGTTTGAGGGCCATCACCTGAAGGCTTGCATTTGGGGCGGTGCGATAGGCCTTTGTTATGAGTAGTAGGGCTTTACGTTGGGCAGAGGTGAGTGCACGTCTAGGATGAACTTTTTGAGCGGCTTGACCCCAGGTGCCGCAAGCGTAAGTGATGGTAGGAATAAATATGTGGTCGTAGATGGTCCCCATTGCCTCTGAATTGAGGCCCCATTTATTTTTGGCATACTTGGCAAAGGTATGAAAGATGAGGCCCGTGCGAGCAGCTATATGTTTAATATGCTGGGTCCAGGTTAGAGTGGGGTCGAGAGTAATGCCCAGGTAAGTGATATGCTTTTTCACCTTGACAGATTTCCCATACATTCTGATGGTCGGAACACGTGCGTAGAGGTTGTTTTTACCTGGGCTGTTGAACATGATGCATTTGGTCTTCTCTGCATTGAAGGATAGCTTGTTATTTTCACCCCATATGCAAATGTTTTTAATAACAAGCTCTGCTCTGTGCTCAAGGGCAGCTCTGGAATTTCCACCAATTAAAATAAAAACATCATCAGCATAAGCTGTGATGGAGTCTTGCCCAAAGTCTGTCCGAAGGAACGTGTCAAATGCAATATTCCAAAGAGTGGGGCCACAGGCAGACCCCTGAGGACAGCCACGTGTCACTCTTCTTTCCTGTTGGCAGTCACCATATTGTAGTATGGCAGTTCTATCTGTAAGATAATCCTTGATCAGATGATATATGTTAGCTGGGCAGTTAATATCTCTGAGATGTTTGAGGATAATAGGCCACCAGGCGCTGTCGAAGGCCTTAGAAATATCCAAGCTGATTCCCAGTATGTATTTGTTATTTTTAAGAAGAGAGTGGATTTTGCTTATTACCATGTTGATAGCTTGCGGAGCAGACCTTTGTGGCCTGAAGCCAAACTGGTGTTCGCTAAGATAATTGCCATTTTCCAAGTGCCAAATGAGTCTATTATTAATTAACTTCTCCAGAACTTTACCCATGGTAGGCAGAAGGGAAATTGGTCGAAGATCTTCATTGCTGCCTGGCTTAGGGATAGGTATGATTTTAGCTATCTTCCAAGCACTGGGAAAGATACTATGTCTAAGGCAGTTGTTGAAAATTTTAAGAATATTTTCTGGGATTAAAGTCCAAATGTGTTTGGCAATTTCTGCAGTGATGTTGTCCATTCCAGGAGCCTTACCGCGCTTAAGGGTGTTAAAGATCTGGTTAGTTTCTTCATGGTTGAAGGGAGGCATGTCGGTAGTGTTGATGCTATTTTGTTGACTGTGTCTGATATTACTTTGCCAGTCATTGTCGGTGTTAGGAGAATCATCGAGGCAGAAATTATTCATTTGAGCTTCTAGGGTTTCCTCTAAGTTGGTGGTGAAGGTATTGTTAATAGAGACTGTAGTAAGGATGCGGTGTTGCCTCAGTTTCCTGGTGCACAACTTTGTAATATAGCCCCAAGGATTGCCAGAGGCACTGGTACAGAATTCCCGCCAGGAATTGAGCTTGGATGTTCTAATTTCATGTTTGTAGATTCTTTGGTGCTGTAAGTACTGAGTTTTGAGGTTGGAACGTTCAGGCTCACTGGATGTGCTTTGGTATCTTTTGCGTAGTAGGTTATTTGTTTTTCTCAGTTCTGAAAGTGTGGAGTTCCACCACGGCACCTGCCTGCCCTTAGGAGGGGTCTGCGGAATAAAGAGTTTGCAGGCTGTTGAGATGTGCTCGATGTTGTCTTCTATGATGCGCCTGGTGTATTGCAGAGTACAGTAGATCCCCCTATAATGCTGTTGATAATTTCGTGTTATATGAATTCCATGTTGTACGAGTCACTTAGATTTTACAAATACGTGTGCCGGGCTGTGAACGGCTCATGTATTTGTAAAATCTAAGTGACTCGTACAATATGGAATTCATATAACAAGGAATTATCAACAGTGTTATAGGAGGGTCTACTGTAATTGTGTTGTTCGTTGCAAATCACGGTTCGATCTGTTTGATCTACCTCATATAGAAGAACTATTGTAAAAGATTGTTGAATGGAAACATATTATTTCAAGTTACAAGAGATTAAAAAAATAATAATTGGTGATTTTGTTTGTCTTACTTTTAAATACGTTCGATTTAGTGCTATTATTTCTTTGCCTCTGAAATCAACACTAAATTGCGTGTGACGCTAAATTGAAAGTCACATAAACGATGAACCATCGAAACGCAAGTGATTTAGTGATAATAATGTATTTTGCCTAAATCGTACATTCAATAGTTCACAAATACTGAAATGTTAAAGAGGTTGAAGTTATATTAGGCTAGCTTTATATCCAGGTTTGATCGTATTTGTAAAAGCTATTGTTACGACGATCTTCTCCCAAATATCTAATTTTTCTGCTTCTCTTAACCTATATAACACATAATTAAGGGCCAGTTTCCCCATAGAGAGTTCTGGTCCTTTGGACGATTATCTATAGCAGAGGTTCTTAAATTTCTGTATTCTACCAATAAACTACACCAAACATCTAACTACTGTATGTCCATTAATCAAATAAAATGATGGAACGAATTTTCGTTTTTTGTAATTTCATGTTTTACCACGACATGCATAATTTAATGCATGCAATTTTTTCAGAACAAGGTCATATTTTTCTGGATCGCCTCTTTAACTTTGATGGGATACGCAATATTTGGTTTGCATGGAGTCATAAACGATGCATCACCAAATCAGAACTTCATACTCATGCATAGGATTTTTTCGTCTTATGCCTGGACTATTGGAAACGTTTGGCTGTGTGTAGCATGTATTTCCGGATACGGTGGTTAGTGTTGTGTACTTAAATGAAAAGCGTAATACATTTTCTTTATTTTCAATAAAAAATTCATTTATATTCTAGGAATTATTCATCAGTTTTTATCGTTGAAGATATTTGTAGTGCTCGATCGTTTAAATTTGTGGATTTATTTGCTTCATTCTTTATGCATCTTTTATATTTACAGTTATACAAGAAGCAACATAATCTTCACCGAACTGAATTTGGTAAGTTGGAAAATACATTTATGTTACTGTTATTTTGGGTACGTTTAGTGACTTAAGGTTAAAGGCCATATTCTGACAGTTACGAATAGTTCTGAATAATCAACTAAGTACAGTACTGTACATGAAAATCTACGTTTTTCATGTATTTGAGTGGTTACTGCATTTATATTAATGTGTTTTATAAGCACGACATCGAAGTTCAATGTCTCATGGAGACATTGAGTTTGTAAAAATGTTCAAGCAGTTTATATTCGTACTTTCGATGCTATTTACTGGTAAGTAAAAAGTAAGAATAAACTGTGAAGGTGTGTTGTAATGTTCTATGCAAAAAGAGAATAAGCAAAAATTGTTAATATATCAATAGTATGTAAAATATACAACTAATAAAAACACAAGTTAAAAATTGATACAAAATTATAATAATAATTCAAAACTAAATGTAAAAGTTTGACTGAAATTGAAGAAAATATACATTTCTTGAAATTTCCTATTACAGTAGAGCGTCGGTTATCCGAAAGCATTCCAGTCGGCAAATTTAAATTTTCGCTAGTGCTGTGGCGCTACTATCTTTGGCTATATCTTGGGCTACTCCAATATTTTTTTTGTGAGTGTGTGTATTTTAGCTGTCAGCACTGGCACTTTTGTGTGGTGTTTTTCTGAGGACTGTGTCGTGCTGAATCGAACGTTTTTGAAACTAGATCAACTTCTAAAGTATTTTTTTTGTTTTTATATTCTTCAATATATTTATTTTATTTGTACAAATAAAAAAATAATTTGTAACGATACAATAGCCACGATTATTATTTTAAAAAGTTTTCGTTAGGCTTAACATCGACGAAAATTCAACGGGAAGCGACACGCAACAGAAAAAAATTTCAACAAGGGATAGGTTAATATATTTTTTCGTGCATAATTGGTTATCCGAAAAATAAGTTATCCAAACAACCTCAGTCCCCAATTGATTCGGATAAATGATGGTCTACTGTAATTCAAATTTCTAAATTTTCGTTAAATTTATACTTTATCATTATTACTATTTTATTATATAATTTTCTATTGTAAGAAATAAATGACAAAATTTGTTGAGAATGTTGAAAATAATAGTTTTACTCTTCTTGCTCTCCACTATCCGAGTAGTTACTTCAATGGTCCACTCGGATAGTGGACCATTGAAGTAACTAGTCGCAGATTCGTATCTCCCAGACAGCTGACAACATGGAGTTTTTCGGTTTTCCTCACGTATCAAAAACCTAAATGGGAACCTGTTTCTCACAGAAAATCCTCTTACTAAGAGTCTTTTACAGTTCTCCTGATTCCCTCTCTCTTTCTATTTCTCTCGTTTCTGTGATAAATGCCAAAAAAAAAAACAAAAACCATATCGACGTTTAAGTGAGATATGAAATTCTTTATATTTTATTGATATTATTATATACTTGTATTGAGTTTATTTTAGAGCTTTGTTATAAGTTAGCATTGAAACACAAAATACAAAACACTTACTAAAACTTTAACGTTTTAATTCACAAATTTAACTATATAACGAATAATAACATATAGATAATGACTTAGATAAGTGTTATTTTTTACTCACATCTAATAATCTTAATGAAATGAAACACTCATGAAATAAATTCTCTCAAGAGATAATGGTCAACAAAGAGATTTTTTATTATATTCAAATACACACTGTTGGCCATTAATTAATTAATTAAAATTTCAACACTAGGAAGGAAAGCAAAGAGAAGAATCATGTTTGTTGTTCACCTACAGTATAGTGAAAGAAAAACATGATTAAAATTTAATCATTAAATTGAAAAGCAATCTTGATCACCTAGTATGTTGTACCTTTCATGTGAATTTCGCAATTGTAATGTGCTAACGTCATAGTGTAGCTTTCAAATGAGATTCCCTCAAACACAAAGTGGAAGTTGCGTCATTCTCGATTCTTTTTTCAGGTTGTGTAAAGTCCAAGCCTAAGTCAACAGATTTGCTCAAATTTTCTAAACTTTTCGTCTGATATTCGGGGAATATCTTCAGAATCAATATTTAATTTAAAGTTGCTTAATTAATTCTTCCATGTATACATTATGATAACCGCACATGATGGTTAAAATCTGTACAAATATACAACCTTGAACACACAAAACATGCAAAATGTTTTTTAGGTATTTGCTCTATGTCTGGTACTGGATTCATGTTGTCGTCTGTAGATGGGTTCAAGCCATTTTAAACGCCTTTTCACAATGAGATAGAGACCCGATACGGAACTTTCGAACAATTTGCATCAATATGCAGGCGAGGAAAGAGCCTGTTAACGAATGTAACCTTTTTCAATGTTGATTGTGTATTAGTGACTGTGATAATAATTTTCTTTTTGCATAATTCTTCAATGTTATATGTTTTTACATATTTAAATGTATAAATCGTCTGGGATCTTCAAATATTTACTTTCCGCAACGTTCATTTTGTTGAAATCAATCTCCTAATTACATAATAATTAATGGAAGTGCGTACATAAGATATTTTGACTATATTGCATGAAATTCTTTTGAAATTCCAATATTAATAAATTAATTTTTATAAATTACATATACGAATTGCAAGACTAAACATTATCTTTTCTTTTCAGTGGATCATCTTCATTTTTGTAATGAGTCTCACTCTTATTGCATCTACGATGTTTTATGTTTTTTTGGAAACGCCCCTGAATTTTCTTTTTTTAAAATTGTCTAAAAATACACTTTGTAAGATAAAGGAATCGCCTATGAAAGAATTTAATACAGCGTCAATTACGGAGAGGACGTCTTTGTAAGAAATCGAAGCAGATCCACGCCAGCTCCAATCCATTTATTTTTCAAAAAAGCTTCTGCTGTTATAGCAAATAAATTGTATAAATTAGAAATGTCGATATAATGAGATGTAAAACAACTCTTGCGCCTTGTTCGTAAGCGATATTTGCCTTATATCTTTGTTGCAGATTGATTATGACTTGTTTAAACTGTTTTAATAAGTGTTAATTTAAATATAATTTTTGTTGATCCGAGTACAATAAATGTAGTAAATATAAATAACAAAAATAAAACTTGTAAACACTGTGAAAAAATTTTTAAAAATTTCAATAAATTTAAAAATTTAAAAAGTAATAAGCAAAATAATGTAAGATGTAATGCTAGGCAATGCAACACATAATCTGTCAGGATGAGTGTGTTTCCAAGAGGCCTTTTGATAAGAAATTAACCTTAATCAGGTATTAAAAAACGCGAAGAGAAACCCAGATAACACACCGGATCCGAAGCATATTTGAACGGTTAACTTCAAACAATTGCTGTTTTATTATCGTCCACTTTAGAAAACTGACGTATTTTTTATGAAAAAGCCATTTTTTTCACTCTTCACCCGTGCATGTGCATCGTGAGCTTAATTTTTTAATTCTCTTTTACTGAATTAATAGTGTACTGCTCTTAAAATGAGATCAATCAACGTCACCTCAACCAGTAAGAGTAGACACTAAATATGGGGAACTAATTTTAAAAAATCTTCCTTAAACCGAAAGACAAAGACTTTGCTGTTCATAAGGAGTGCAGTATATACACTTAACAACTGCATTGCAACACGTCATAAACGTATATTAATTAAGTATGTCTTGCATGTAAACAGATATTTGAAACGGCAATAACATTTTTCATATAAGTAATATTTAATATTTATTTCGATCCTGTACACAAACATAGATGATTAGATATTTACAAAAAGTACAATTCGAAACAATTCTGTTAAAATTTCCGAATTGTGCAATTTCTTCCATTGTTTGGAGTTGGTGTTGGATCTTCGAATTTTCAGTTTCATTTAAATTACTTTTGAAAAATAAATTCTTCAAAATGGAATTGAAAGGAGCTTCAAGAATTAAATAAGAGAAAAAGAAACAGATTAACTACAGAAACCTTACGAATACATAGAGCATCTACTGTAAGGGAAAAAAACATATAACTATTATTACTATAAATATATGATTTAAGATATAAAGTAAATTAAACTTAATTTTTCATGTTCTTTTACTATGATTAATATTCAGATTACATGACATATAAATTATACACTCGTATCATATAAGTATACACACTCCTTTCTAAATTATAAAAATAAACTTTATTTAAAACTTTATTACATTTAAACAGTGAAGAATTTAGTTAAAAAACGTAACTTAAAATTTTTGTTATCCAGCAACGAGTAGCTTAAATTTCCTGGAAAAAAATACAAATATTTATTGCGATAAAAACATACAGTAATATACATGCTTGTTTTAAACACAATAATTAACAATACAGTATATTTAAAATCTATGAAAGTTAACGTTGAGTTGTACCTTTTCTAGCTTACGGACTCCTTGGGAAGTCCATGGACCACTGTCTTACAAGAATTATCATAGCAGTCCGCTTGTCTCTAATTTTAGTGAGATTAATAGCAGACTAGTGTGATAAGTCATTTATCCTTATTAATTAAAGAATTTCGTTTAAAAAATAACAGTTTGTTAGCATGTGTTTTTAAAGTTTCTAATTGGCAAGATTTACCATGTCATGTTATAATAATTTTTCTATAGAAGATAAGAACGGTACCTTTGTGTCCTACTGTTTCTCTTCCTGACCCCTTTGATGCTATTTTACTTCTCCAGATATCTCAGAAACCCACAGATAATTTATTACCAATAAGTATGTATGCAGAAGTATATATATATAACTACTTAATTAACTCTCCTGGAATTACACTGCAGAATAGTTAAAAGCATTTAAAATCTTAGATGCTTAAAATTATTTCTTTAATATTCATATAAATTTTTAAAATTCCAAAATAGTATGAAGTATATACTCACTCGTAATTTATATTATTTTAAATATGTCTTAAAAACTGAAAACTTATGAGCATTTATGTAATTTATTAACTCTGAAATACTTTAAAAGTTCGTATACAAAATATATAGTCATACAATGTTTCATTCCGGTTATGCAAAATCAAAATTTCTAAATATTCATTATCACTAGATTGCTATAACATGTAAATACATTTTAATGTGTGTTAAATTTCTTTACATAATATAAGTACTTAAAACATCGGTTATACACATTTCAATATAGCTAATAACCTGCTTTTCATAACATGTTCATATATCGACCGGATTAAAGCCGCATACTTATGGTTGTCAATTGACAATTTTTGACTGAAGCTCTCTTCTTTGAATTTGAACGTAATAATTTGAGGGCCAGAAAGTCGAGAGGAGCTTGGATAAAGATGTAATAGAAAAAAGATACAATCACCGAAAGGAACAGCACCAATGTGAACAGCATCCACTGAAATGAAAAATAATATTAACAATACAATTAAAGTTTGAATATATCGAAAATGTTTAACTAATACGACTCAAATCCTCTTTTTTCTGAATTATTTTGCTGTACTTAGTTTTTTTTCGCAAATTATCTATCATTTCAACTTAAACAGTGTTTATTCAATAAATTCTAAGCCACCGGACACTTATTTACTATAACATAAATACTTAAAATGAAATTTTAAATTTTATTTAGCAATTTCCATTTTTTAAATAATTTCTAATCCCAGAATTTTTTAAATGTGTGTTTCACTTGAACGAGCAAATATTCATCGTGATATTCTCACAATTCGGGGATGCAATTTTTAATAATATTTTTAATTTATGTAATTTAAAATATATTTTCTCCACTTTAAGTTAGTAGTGGCTTGCTGCTGTACCTTACTTTTAACAATAGAGTCATGCTGGTCATTTATGTAACCATCATTCCAAAAAAGGGGTTTTAATTGAAATTAAGTTTCAGACAGATGGACGGGAGTGGAAATTTATAGCTCTACAATTTTTATTCAAATTTCAGCCCAATAACATTAATGTAAATTATACGAGAATATAAACTATAATAGCTTAGGCTAAATTATAAATTTCTTATCTATAAAATAATTATGAACATTAATATAGACAAACATTTATTGTTGAGTCATTGCCATTTTATATTAAGTTCCGAAGTATTTTTCAAATAATTTGAAAATTATTTGAATATTATTTGAATTATTTGAAATTCAAAGCAATTTTCAAATAATCTAAACTGTCGCTTGCTTGTTTAGATATTTTTCTTTCTTCTTTGTTGCAAAAAGTAATTAATAAACTTGATATATATATATATATATATATATATATATAGAAGTATATGAGTTCTAAATTTAAATTATATACAATATACTCTCGTTAATCATGACCTTAATTATCCGGCATACACAACATTCTCTCACACAGATCAAGTTCAATATTAATGAAAGCTTATTTATTATTTATATTCGGCTATTGTATTAACAGTTTTAAAATAGTTTTAGAAAAACATTATTAATTAATTAATCTAATTATATTTCACTTTTTAATCAGTATTTTTGGTTTTTAATACGAGGCTGTGGAGTTTTGTAAAAATCTACCGACTTCTACTCCGAGTCCGATCGTGGACAGACTTGTTAACAAAATAGGCCCGGAAATTCTGATGTCATCACGTGACCTTAGAATAAAAACTTCAATAAATAGTGTTCTGAGAAAGATATAACGTAGAAACTTTTTATTCAAGAGATAAAAAACTCCTCTAAGTAATGACATAGTCAATAATTTTCAGAGTAGTGATGAGTTTTATAAAAAATTGTAAACACTAATAACGAATAAAATATTTATTAAGTCCGACCACACTGGAGATACGACCCATGACACCTTCTATGTCACCATCCTGTGGAAATTTAAGTAAGAACTAATATTTAATAGCATTAATATCTCTGTAGCTACCATGCCAAATTTTGTTTTTTAAACTTCACCCATTCTGAGATATAAAGAATATCTCTTTATTCTCTGTTATCAGATATTAAACAAACATCTCAGAACAGAGAATAAATACATTTTCCCCCTATATTTGACAGTTTTTGGGTTGAGGAGGTCTCCAAACATGTAGATTTGCAAAAATTCGGAGGGTCAAATTTGACAGGATTTCAATATCTTTCCGCATTATACACATAACAAGTTAGGTAAGAAAAAGGAGTCAGAGTCGGCGGATTTTTGACGACTCTGACTCTGACTCCGACTAAAACACCAAAAACTCTGTAATTTTGACTCTGACTCCACAGCCCTTGTTCATTTGTATAACACTATGAATAATCTTAAATCTAAAAATTACACTGATGTGATTCAAAAGTATATAAATAAACATGACAGAATAAAACATGTATCTATGTATGTATTATTTTATAGGAAAATTCATTAGTTATTATTACTTCTATTTAAAAAGTAATATAAAATTACCATATTTAGTTCAGTCATCATTGCACCTTTTCTAAGCTGAGCGTAAATATAAAGTATAACTAGAGGATGAAGCACGTAAATCCATATATTCAAACGATCTAAAATGGTGAAGACTTTCATAGACAGGAATCTGTTAACAACACCTAAAAATAAAAAATAAATTCGAAAACTTAAAAAATATATCAGATAAAAGTAACGTTCTACACGTTTATATACTGCAAAAATAACTATGTGTTAAGCATGTGAAATAAATATGAACGTATCTTTTTCTGAAATATAAATGATTAAATTATTAAATATTTTTGATAAATTGAGCGATAATCAGTAGTAAATTTTTTCCTCTTAATTCTAGGTGCTGTGAAAGGTCGCTTAATTAGAATTTCATGTGTATTATTTTATAACATTTTCTGTTATTTCCCTTACAAATAATGAATAGCAAAACAACAATTATTAAATTTCTCTAGTAATATAAGTACTATTAAAATATATTAGTTTATTAAAAATCACTGCACTTTGTTCAATACTAGTTTTCTGTTAAGCATAAAGATAAATTAATATTGATAGAAAATAAGAATAAATCACTTCTTTAAAACAGATGAAGAAATAATTTAATTAAATTAATGTAGCGAAACAGTGTATGTACATGAATTCCGTTCAACATGCATAAAAGAAATATTATGTCTCAAAAATAAGCTAATACTGTTCACTTATTATTACAATATTGTAGTGTTTGTTTGTTGAATAAAGTGTAATAATTACAAATGTACAAAATCATTATATAAATAATTTATGCATATCGAAATATTATAGTCAATTAGTCTTTCTATTAACAATTTTCATGATTGAATTTAGAAAACAAAAATGTAGTTTTGTATATTTTGCATAAAAGAACTTATTTAAAATGTTTACAATAGAGAGTGAAAGTGAAACCTGAAATGAAAAGTTAAGTTAAAATATGAAATTTCTAATTCTAGTTTTCTGTGATATTTTACGTTATTATTTCTATTTTACTTTCCCAGCTGTTATATATAACAAAGGAAAATCGGTCATCTAACTACACCAAAGTATTTTTACATTTTTGCAGTCGAGAACTCTAATTTAGACCTCGATAAATGCAAAAAAATTCGGGGCTTTTTCTGTGCAGTATGTATGGACATTACTGTGTGTGTGTGTGTGTGTGTGTGTGTGTGTGACACGATTTTCATCACTCTGTTTGAAGCTTAACAATTCTTTGCTTTTTGTCGAAGATTTTTAAATTTTTGCAGGGAGGTTTGTTAGAGGGATCGATGCGATTAAATTTGGAAAGATCAAGTGGGTCGTGTGTATCTCCAGTATGGTCAAATTTAATGACGATTTACTAGTATTTAAGATTTACAATTTTTGTAAAACCCATTCGTTTTCTGAAAATGAAGCTTTTTCCATTTTATAACAGTGAAAAATATAGCGATTTTTTAAAAATTAAATATCATAACACATTGTACCATCAAAGATTGCCTGGAAAGTTAAGCAACTCGTTGCTAGATTTTTTTATATTTCAAATGAATTTGATGAAATGAATGGCCTTATCTCATATCACAGTTATTCTAACAATTCAAAACTGTCGCAGTGTATTTGATTGTCTAAATACAATAATTCATAACGATAGTTTCTACTTTAACTTCTAAAATCCAAAATATACATTCTCACTATACCTTAAAAGTTTCATATATAAAGTTGTGCAATTAACGTACCTCCATATCCAGTTATACAAGCTACACATATCCAAGAAAGCCCAATTATCCATATAAACGGCGACAAAGCTCTGTGAATAAGAATAAGGGATTTGTTTGGAGACACTTCAGTGATCTGTTTGTGCAATCCAAAAGTAGAACACATCAATAAAGACAACGAAATTATCCAGAAGATTACACGATATATCTGAAAAAATAAACCTTTTTTTAAATTAAAGTATTTCTTCGATTTTATTACGTTTACTTTGCATGTGGCCAACTTAATTTTTGAAAATTGAAAAAGCCGTCGAAAACATATTATGTAAAATACAGTAAATTATTTATTCTGACATGGTCACAATGCCCGACAGCAATATTTAATTATATTTTTAATTTATTTAATTTCAGTTATGTGCTTTCCACCTCAAATTAGCAGTGTCTTGCTCCTGCACATTATACTTTTTCTGCTATCAATAGAGTCGTGCCGGTGATCTATCCAACTACTTTAATATGAGTAAAGTTCAAATACACCCACTTACGCCGATTAAATTCAAAACTTATATATATATTGAAAATAAACGTATGTACAGTTACAAAGTTCACAAAACAAACATTTACAAAACGTTAATTATAACAAAGTTCAACACATTTATCCACTACAACAGGTCCGTCGAAAAGACACCTTGCAACGAACTAACTCTAAAGTCCTTTACAGCCCAACGAGACGAGACAAGTTTCGATACCAGCTTAGGCGAACTGAGTCCACTTTCTGAATCCACGGTGAACTGAACTTCCCGCCACAACTCAATCCTTTTATAGGATTGAAGAAGAATTGGATTCCACCAATTAGCGCTTAGCAGCGCTACAAGACGTCCGCCGATTGTTCGATGTCTCTCAACCAATCAGTGGTCGAGTTTTCAAAAGTGGTCCGATTGCTGTTCCTATGATCACAACCGTCGAACGATTGGAAAAGCGCGGGAAAACCGTGCGGCAGACGATTTTTATCCCGACAATATGTATTAAGTTAAATTGAAATAACTTGACTTTTTGTAGAAATGAGAGGATCTTATATATGTAATCGGGGAATACCATCCGTAGGATTTCTGGTGGTGGTCGTGAATTTCATTTCTCAAACAGCATTCTCGAGAGTAAAGAAAGACAGACAGTCGGGCGACAGTGGAAATTTATAGTTCTACAATATTTTTTCCAATTGTAACACAATAATCTGTGTGTGTAATTAAAGTATCGAATAAATGAAATGGATGTATTATCTCTTTGTCAAGTTTGGACTTACTTATGAGCTACGACTTTTTTTCCGAGTGTAGTAAATCACAAAATTTCTTAGTAAAACACCTTTATTGTAACATAATCCTGTATGCCACTATATTTCAGCATTTCAGGCTAAAGTCCCTTATGAGCAGACTTTACTTTATATATATTAGCGTTTTTTATCTTCTGAACAGACTTTTAAATAACCATTTTAAATCCTTTCCTGTGGTTATTTCTTCTCAAATTCTTTATTCTGTATTTCCTATACTTGCCAGGACATGCAAGCTGAAGAAGAACTGAGAAGTCATAAAGTGGATTTGTGATGCACGAAAACATGTCGAAGAGAAACATTTTTTTACTACTATATCACTATCAAACAAAATAAGAAACGTGATTGAGCGAGATAATGTAATAAAAATAAATAATATAATATTAAAGTTGGGAATGTAATATAATAAATACAAAATAAAGAATAGTTTAGTATATAAATTAGTTTTTTCAATATTGACCCCAGCGACTATCACTTAGGACTGATTGATGGATTTCTCGACAAACCTATCAACAAAAAAAGGAAAACATCAGTATCCGACTACTAGTAACTCTAAGAGAGTTTTTATTTCAAAGCCTAAGACCAGATGATTACCATTAAGTGAACCACTGTTAAACCCAAACGCCAGCAGTCAAAATTGGTACACCGTAAGAATGTCAAATTGCCACCCAGGAACCCGAATGCAAAACCACAAATATTGTTCGTTTCCAGGGGTGTCACTCTTCTTAGATAGGTTTCACGTTAATATTAAAATTCATATATATTGTTGCATTTAAAAATATTTATTTATTTCTGTAATTACTCAGGATACATTTCTTCATAGTTGAAGTTTAGACTACAAAAAATATCAAATTTTTGAGTGTATCTTAATCCTTTTTATACAACCCCAGAAGTAACAGTTAACATGGTTTTTTGAAGAATATACTTCTTAAAACAAAGGTAAACAATAAGTAAAAAAAGGTTCACAATGTTAAAGACGATAAAGTGTCAGCCTTCTGTTATAGGTTCTGACACTTTTACATTAAAAACACAAAGAATTCTTCTCACCACATTGTCCTTATCCATTATTGTTTACCTTCGTTTTAAGAAGTATATTCTTCAAAAAACCATGTTAACTGTCACTTCTGGGGTTGTATAAAAAGGATTAAGATATACTCAAAAATGTGATATTTTTTGTAAATAGCCTAAACTTCAATTATGAATTTATTTATAATTTAATTATAAAAGAACTGAAATTACTTAATAAATAAAATTTATTAATCGTCAAATTTTGTATTTAATTCAGTTGATTAAATAATGAGAAATATTCTAAATTTTAATATTTTGACTAATGATTTTGTGCAAGTTAACGTTTACTGCCATTATAACTACTTAATTATAATATCATTTATATTACAATAGAGAATATAAAAAAGCTACTTACTTTTTTAATCTTCAGCTCCACTTTGTTTGACAGAATAATTCCAATTAGTAAACCCGTGCAATAGGAGCTGAGATGCGAATAATACGGTCTTTGATAGTTATTATGTACATAAGAATAAAATTTTCTGTATGGAAAATTCATAAAATTACTGTATTATTTTTTTCCCAAATAGCATACTAACTATATTATAATGTATAAATTCTTATCTTTGTTTACACATTTTAACAAACTAATAAAAATAATTTATGGCCTGACAGAGTTAACTTTATGTTCTGTATGAACCTGATTGATACAGAAATTTATCATGTACAGTATATTACATCAAAACTCTTTTGTATAAATGAGTAACACATACATAAGAAAATAAACGTGCTTTAAATAGATTTATCACATTGTGGCATATTACCATAATAAGTAAGATTTATGTACGTAAATAAAAATATACGTACATAAATCTTACTTATTATGGTAATATGCCGCAATGTGATAAATCTAGTTAAATATAAAATATAAAATAGTTTATTCTAAATATTTAATATCACTAAAACATACTCCCTGTCAACAGAGTATCCAAAGAAAGGGAAGATGTCTGACATTAACGTGTTAGTCACGTATGAGGCAATGCCAACAATAACTAACATAAATATTAGAAGTAGACCATGTTTTGGCCATCTGAAAGTAAAAAGATATACAAATGTTATCAGTAAAATAATAAGAAATTAATAAAATGTTTCCAATTTGTCTATAGTTGGTTTGTATGAAAAAAGCAAAACTGTTAAGAAAAAAGTTCTATATAATTGCGTATTTCTTGAAGATAAATTAAGCAGAAACCTACAAAATAATTAATATTATCTTTGAGAAAAGAAATTCTCAACTTCGAAAAAGACAAAATGTTTTTAGATGCTGTATTTCTAAAACGATATATACTGGAACAGTACTCCGGCCAGTTAGACCTGTACAAGAAACAAATAATATAGTTGCCTTATATTTTTCGTAACATTTATGAATAAAACTAAATATCTCTAATTTTTTTTTTTTTTTTTGTAAATACGCAAACGATCGTCAACGAGTAAATTAGTTATTCATTAAAACACGTACTGAAGTAGCACAGTACTGAATACTTTTTTCGTTTTGGCAGTTTTTCATTTTAAACAGGTTTTCGCAACTTAAAATTTTTCTTTTTCTTCTACATTTTTCAAATATACAACATAAATGTCATAAGTTTCGTCATTTTTACACAACCCAAAAGATTATTACTGGACTTAATCCAAATTACTGGTAACTGAAACTGCAAAAATTAGAGTATTTGAATACAAGAATTGATAACAATTTCATTGCAAAATGTTCTGCTATACCCGAAGAATTGGGCTAGGTATTCGAGTGCATTTTACGTAAAGTACTCATGTGCACACATGCCAACGAATAAGCCAATTCCAAACTAAAAACTAGTGTCGCATAATTTTAATCGCATTATAGTGACATTTTAATACTCTAATTACTACTCCTTAACTTCAACCTTTATCAGTACCAATAATCATAATTAATTTCTTGTCGTATACTCGATGCTAATTAGTTAGTAGCTACTGCACACAAGATAAATTGGCAGAACTGTACCACCTTATTTCCATCGTCTTTTATCAACTATACTCCTTGTTCTTGAGTATTTGGTTCTGGAAAACTCATACAATTCTTCAACGTATTTGATTTTGCCCTTGTATAATTCCGGCCAAGAAAAATCTTTTCCGTTTTATTCAGTTATTGGACAAGTTTATTTGTGCATCTAATTACTGGTGTACGCTCATCTGTACATACTTATGTAAATTATTAATTTCTATAATGTAAGATTTACAAAGATTGTTTTTAGAAATATCCTTAAAGTTTTAACATTAATTATATGACAGGTATGTAATTGAAATAAAAGAAGTAATTTCTAATTTTAATTATTTTGCAAATAATTCTTTTAATTACTGCTTGATTAAATGTTTAAATTTAAATAACCGTTTAAGTAATCTATCTCTTTACCTGTCACACACGAATAACAATGGTGCTGTAATAATCGTGAGTTGCATCAAATTACTCATAAACCATAAATGATTCAGAAACTGTAATTTCAAAAAAATATATAGATTAATTAAAAATATAATAAAAATGTTGATTCGAATGAAAATTGAAACAATTACGTTATATGGATAACCCATATAAGTCTGAATATGAATTGCAAATGCCCACCAATGTCGTTCTGCAAATTCAGCTTCACGTTTAGTGTATTCCCAATGTGGACCATCGCCAGAAAGAGGTAAAATAATCATCGTGGCCACAACACAAAGAACTGGTAGAGTTAACCTGAAAAATGTTCGTGAATGTTACTGAAAGCTTTTTTATGCAAGAGTTTAATGTTATTTATTTTACCTGATAGCTCTGTTTATCACGAATTGCACATATTGCATTTTTGAATTTGCTTTTTGTTTTCGTGTATAAAATGTCAGAAATCCACTAATTAAAACAAATAGAAAAGATAATTTTTTTCAGCTATTCTATTATACAAAAAGTCATAACATCATACTTTAAATTCACTATGATTACAACTACTATTAGAAATATTTATATTACATCATTGTATTTGCACGAAGATCAATAGTTACAAAACATTAAGTACAGGTGATTATAATTAGAGTATCGTTATTGAACACTCTGTCTACCAAGATAATTAGTAGTGAAAATGAAACCAAATTTAGTTGGGTGACATTTCAGTATATAGTTAATCGGAGACTTCTGATCCTCAATCTTTCTATATTTGGTCTCGAGTTTTACTTATCTAATTTTGTTCTCGAGATTAAGGAAGAACATATTGTATGATTGTACTCGGTTGTAGTGCTGTAGTGTTATTATTTCGATTTGCACATTTCATCACATAACTTGTAATGTCACCGTACCAAATTTAATAGAATTAAAGTTGCTAAATATTTAAACACACAAAATTTGAAAACATTCTTAAAATAGATATTATATACAAATGTGTCTTTTAACTTTTTCCTTTTACACACAGATGAAAAAATTAGCAATTCCATGGCGGAGTCGACTTTTTATTAGATGCAACTCGTCTGTATCAATTTGAAGATCTTTAAAATTTTCCCTCTGACAACACAAGTAAAAATTATAATTGCATTTGATAAAATTCTGTTTTAGGAATTTTCTTTAATATGGATACTCTAATTACGGTCAGCTGCTTTTTCATTTCAGACATAAAGTTAAGCACAACTGTTAAAATTTAAATAAAATTGCAAAAAATTAAATTGGTAAAATTATCTTCATTTTTTTAAAATTAAACACGTTTGCTTGTATCTTACCTAATTACGAAAAAACTTTCAATTAATACAAATGAATTAGATGCAATTTCCATTGGTATGTGATTCCACAGTCCAAATAAATTCAAATATTTTTCTGCAATAAAGTTTAAAATAATATTTAAATATCATTTATTTATTGACGTGACGTTTATATTTTAAAACTATAAAGTCCCCTTCACGTAGTATCGCCCCCTTCACTTCAAAATTCCAATGCCGAAAGCCATGTAACGCCAAATTCGTACTGCATTGAATAGACTTGTGACTAGTATAATGTTATTTGTTTAAATTATTGTACGATATAACGAATAAAATATCCAATTATTCTTAATATAATGTTTTACTGTATCGTCCAGAGAAATGTTTTTCGACTCTTAAAATATAAATTGTTACTATTACGTGTGGGAAAAACGCCCACACGGGGACCCCGTTCCGTATCGCCCCCGTTGAGGAATACTGCTATAAAGGTTACATGATTCTTCGGTCCGATTAACAATGTTACCTAAATGAAATTACATATGAAGAACCACAAAGTAAAAGTTAAAGATTGATAATAAATGGAAGAATATATAAAATTAATAATTCGATACTTTATAATGCTGAAGATAAACAATATTAAGGTTGACGAAAATAAATAAAATTAATATAAAATAAATAAAATTAGTATAGGCCTAAGTATACAAGAAATACTAAAAATGTAGCTGGCAATCGAAATAGCCAGTTGGACTTACTACTATAATTTTTTAAATTCAGTTATGAAATAGTAGATGGCCATGTTTACTAATTTGTACATCATGTAGCGCAGAATTTTGTTTTCGATTACGTACTGTAATAATCTCGGAGCAAATATATATATATAACATATTTTAAATTTTTGTAAATTTTGAATATTTTGTATAATTTGCTTTGGTAATCTCGTTTCTTTTGGAATGAGGTTGGCAATGCTAAAAAGAATAAAAAAAGAGTTCGAATGAGGATCCGGAAGTGAACTAACGTTTTGTTTTATTGTCTCCAATTTTTTTTTTTTTTTGTTTTGGTCTTGCTCTCTCTACAAAGCTCTCTCTACAATCGATCAATTATAATTGATCGATTGTAGAGAGATACCTGAGGATACGAAATTAATCCGTTCCGAAACTCAGATCGTATTATGAAAATGTCGTAAGGTGAACCATTTTTCCCCATACGATTACATGTAAAACCAATTAATCCGTTGCAACACGAAAAACACACTCAAATTAAAGCTAAGTAGTACATTGAAAAAAAATTTTAGTAAGGAAAACATTGAAAAATGCGTTTTGTAGTTATAAATGTATAAATAACCATAATAAAATAATAATTGATAAAAAAAATTAGTTTTATTTGCACTTTACCTTTGAGGATAGACGATAGTGGAGGTGTAAACTGGTGGCGGAAGAGAGGGAGAAGGAAAATGATACTAAAACTTAACTTACATAGCATAATGTAACAATAACACTAAAAAAAACTTAACACTAATCTGTAACAATAACATAATGTAACAATAACACTTAAAAAAACTTAACACTAATCTTTTTTATATTTTTTGTTTTATATTTTTTTTTCATTTTTATTCACTGCTTTTTGTTTTCTTTCCTTCACTTCCATCAGCACTTTCACCGGATGGAGGTCGCTTGGTAAAATATCTATTCAAAGAGGTTTGACTTTGCCTACTTTTTAAAATGTTTCTAAAATGACTTAGGCAAATGTCATTACTCCGAGCAGCAATATAACCAGTATGAACCTTTTCAGGATGTTTCTTTTCAATAAAATCAGTCACTTTCTTATAACAGCTCAAGATTTCCTTTATCTGCGCTGCGAACTAATGTAACTTCGTATGGTGAGTTTTGTTCGTACCATGGAGCAAAAATATGTTCGAATTTCATCTCGTATCCTGAAAATTTTGAATGCTGGATCGTTCGGATCCTGAGGTACTAGTGTATATTTATTATTCAAAATGAGTGGAATCTTAATTAAACAGCATCTGGTGATAAAAGATTTCAGATATGCCAATATTTATAATTGGGAATTTGTATCGTTAATTCTCAAAACTGAGATAGACTTAGTATAATGAAGTTAAGGAAATTCTTCACTAATAAAGAAGTTGTATTACTGCAATTTTCTCTAACAATAATTTATTCAATTAACAATCGAAAATTATTTATAAATAGACAATGCGAAACTATCGAAGTTAGCAAATATATTGTGAAATTTAATGAGGCATTACGTAGCAACACTATGAATGGGTAGAGATTTGTTTTTTGTTTCTGTTTGTGTACGGCAACGGCACAGGTAGGCGATCTGCAAATGGATAACGCCTTCAAGGACAACTTTCTACAGGAAAATAACTCCTATTTAGTGTTATGAACGTGGAAGCTTGGCAAAGCCAACGCGGCTGAGTGGATGAAACTACTGAACACTGGACCAGTAGTTTAGTGAAACCACTTGGTAAAGTTGGTAATAAATGCATCACCAAATTGTCAAACCTATTAACTTCTAAGAATAAACTGAAGTCTCTTTATGAACAACATTAAGAGAATAATGTCATAAAATATAATTCTGAAATTGCCAAGACACTTGTTTAGTGAATATTAATTTCGGAAGTTAGAAAAATAATAACGTATTGCTTATAAGAAAACATAATTACCCAAAACGGTCGGTATTAGATCGAAGGATGTTACAATGTGACCAAATATAACCCAAAATATCACTAAAATTTTGATTCCACTTAGCGCTTTTGTCTCCTCGTAAATGTTGCTAGAAAACAGTTTACTTCCAGTGCTTAGTGCGGATAGCGATACGACAATGTCAAATATTTTTCCTATAAATTTAAATTGTTAAATTATTAAATAATAATGAAAAGTATATAAATTATCTGTTGAGTTAGCTTAAAAAATAAACTTCTATATATTTATTTATAAAATATAGGCAATTGACTTACCATTTACCATTTTCTTGCTAACTATATGTAATTTCAACAAAGCATCAACGGTCGTAGTTAAGATTATGCAAATTATTAAACTGCTAAACACTGCTCTAAAATAAAAATAAATTTCTTGTGAATAGTTCTGTTTAATTTTCGTACACTTATCTAAAAAATAAGATATTATTTTTTAATAACAATTAAAACTGTAGAAAATGTAAAAGGGCCAATTACTTATAACAAATTAATGGCTTCTAGTCATATACAGAATCAAAATTAAAGTAGTTATGTTAAGAAATATTAATTAAGTACCTGTAAAATGAAAATAATCGTAACTATTCTTTATTAATCTAATTTTCTTAATAAAACATTTTTACCATTTAATTGATTTAAATTAAATAACAGATGTAAAAGCAGTATTTATATATTAATTAAATATAAAATAAAATGTATAATTAAAAAATTCCTGAACTGACTTCATATTAAAAAAATTAAGTAAAATGTTTGAGTTGATTTGAGTTGGTTGAGCTTAATGCCAAACGCTTATCAATTACTTGATGTTTTATATGTCACGTAAATTTGCAGCATACATAATACATAACTGTGACGTTTTTCAATGAAATATTTACACGAATTTATGCTTTAATCTGAAGGAATCTTCCAGTTAAAGTTTATCGATGACACAAAATGCTTTTGATTAAGCTTCAATAAAAATAACGACAGTGTCTAAAAAGTACAAAATGTTTAAAAACGATCGCAGTTCAGGCCGACTTTAAACTCCTTGTACTTTATCTTAATTATGTTAACTCAAGATTTAATCAATAACGATGAGGCAACACAAAAATTCTGAAAAAATTAAGTATTTGATATTTAAAAATTTTAAGATAATCATCTGAGAAGTTAAAGAATCAGCGTGTCACACACGCTGTGTGACTCAATCATCCATGAAGAGTTTGGCTTAAAAAAAGTAGGCATATTTCTTCCTTAGATATTGATGCAGTAGCGAAAAGAAAAACGCCAAATGTCCTGCAAAACAGGCTCCTAATGACTGAATAAGAAAAGATATGGACAGGTAACGTAATAACCAGCAATCAGACTTGAGTCTTCAACAAGGATCCCGAAGCAAATGCCAATCAAATGAATGGTCGACCGCGATCCAAAAGCGAAATAATCCAGAAAATCCAAGTCCAAAATAAATTTCCTGCTGGTATCGTGTTTTGACAATAAAGGTCTTTCATAAATTTCTGCCAGAAAGAGTGAAAATCAAAAAGAAAACGTACTTGTTCATTTTGCAAAGATTGTGAAAGCTATGAGATAAAATTCCGGGAAAGTGATGACTCTTTAATTGATTTTTTCGTCACGATAATGTTCGGCCACAAACATGCAGTTTAGTTCTTTTTTCCCGCTAAAGTAACATTTCTATACTTCCTAAATCAACCTGATCGATAAATTTTGCCCCAAATTCATTTCACTTCTATCAGAATTAAAAACAATTTCTTTATCTTTTCACAACATCAAATGAAAAATTTGAGAATCCTGCAAAAGAATGGTTTTCTGCTTGTTTTCAAAAGTAAAAATATATATATATAATATATATATATGTTACCGCTAAAGCTCGAAATCCGTTAATGTGTACATTACCTAGCTAATCTGCAGATTAACTAGAGTGATCCGTTAAAGCTGCGAAAATTGTTCAATTTCTCAAATTACCTAGGTAATTTGCAGAGTATCTAGGTAATCTGCACATTAACGGCTTCCGTATCGTTGAAGTTCAAAAGTTTGTTTCTTTCACTTCCTTTCCCCACTCCTTCTTTTTACGTAGATAAATTTAAATCCTAGAATGCAAGCAAGCACCGAATTGGTGAGTAAAATCAAGAAAAGATTCTTCGCAAACCTCTTTAGCGAAGATTTAAAATATAATACGTAGTGTTTTAATAACAAACCAAAGTATGATTCCATAATTGAAGATGTAAAGCAAATAAAAGTTTCCAAGAAGAAAGAATCATCTCGAGATTATCAAATAATTCAAAGGTGTGATGTGTTGACTGTACGAGGCTGTGAAAAACTCATTGAGCCGTTGTCAGATGCGCGAGAAAGGTTTGAAAAAGTTTGTCCATGCCGGAGAATTGTTTGACATTCGATAAAAACTGAAGAAGACCTTGAAAAATTAGAAGATTCACAAGAGACTGTGATTATGAGATCACAGTCAAATCTTACTCAAGAGGACATTCCGTTATCCCCCGCTTCTACAGAATCACCTATAGAAATACAAGAATTTACCGATAGTAATCTTAAACTGCCTTCTATACCGTTGATTGATGATGCAGTCACGAAGAATATTCAGTTACCCTGCACCTCCAAGGAATCGCCTCTGCAAGTTGAAGAAGTCATCACTGAGTTACTCTCAACTTCAGCAGAATCGCCATCACAGTTTCGTACGGAGCCTGTAAAGAGCACTATACAAGACATAGTCTGTATTGTTTGCTCAAAAGCAGCATCAAGTGCTCACAAGTGTAAATCGTGTAATATGTTTGTTCACGCAGTTTGTGGTGAAGTAGATCCTAAAGAGGAAGGGTATGGTAAGAATGTATTGTGCATCATCTGTAAAAAGAATATGGATCAGAAAATACAGCGTGATGAAGCCAAGAAATGTTTAGAAAAGCAAGCAAAGAAAATGTTAGCAGTTTCTAATGCAAAGCACCCAAACGTCGATGAAGGTTTCGCTGTGAGAATTAAAGTACCCGAAGAAGACAGAGCAAAAACTGATGCACGTTCAATTTTAGCTGTGGTTCTTAGTAAAACAGAGGATGGCTTTTATAAACTTGATACTAAAACAGGTATTTTAAAACAATTGTATGCAAAATCTGAATTCAGTGTTTGCAAAGAGAGATTTTTAACGAAAGAAGATGGATGTCCCTGCTGTAGAAATATCTTTACGTCAAACAGCAATAAAACAATCCCTTGGTACTGGGCAGGGTTTCAGAAAATGTGACTGCAAATCTAAATGTACCACAAATAGGCGTGCTTGTCGCAAAAACCAATTGCTACGTAATTCAAAGTGTCACCAATCTTTAGATTGCACTAATAAGTAAGTACAATTTTATCATACATTTTGCAAATTCATTTCCCTAATTGTAGTAATATTTTAAACCGTTTGATTTTTGTATTAAAGTTTTTTTAATTGATTGATGATTGATTCAATCAACTAATTTGTTGATAGTATTAACTTGATTCTTTAGATATTGAACATTAAATAAATAACATTATGTTAATTTAAGCGTACAAAAACGTTGCTGTTGTTCCAGCAAAGATCTTATATTTTACTTTTGAAAACAAGCAGAAAACCATTCTTCAAACATATATCTTATCAAACATATATATATATATATTTTTCTAGAAACCAAAGAAGTATTTTATAGAAACAAAGAATTATTTTATAGAAAACAAAGAAGTATTTTAATAGTTTTCAGTGTAAGTTCCTTTTTATCTGAACAACGTTTCTATTTGTTTTCTGCCATTTGTTATGTGCAAAGTCCTGGAAATTTTTGATCATAAGGTGTATGTGTCAAAATTTAAATAACTTTTATTTCTCTAAATCAATGGTTTTCAAACATTTTAACAGTGCGACCCCAAGGTAACTTTCTGCGACCCCATTTGGGGTCGCGACCCATACATTGAATAGCACGGCTCTAAATTATTGAAAAATTTGTTTTTACAACTATCTAAAATCAAACATTACTAAGAGAGCAACATTTCACCTAAGCCAGGGCATCATAGACAAGGAAGTCAAACCAAAAATCCAACCAATAAACGTTGAAAACTCAAAACACATCATAATCTATTCCCATTATTTAGAATCATTCGCCATTTTTTTATTATGGCAGATTGAAGAAACAGAAAAATTGAATTATAACTCAGTTATTAAATTTTTAAATTGGTAGTTAACCTAATTCAGTTATAATTTTGATAAGAATATATATTAATAAATGTAAGTGAAATTACATAACGTTTCACTATTTATTGTAACATCATCACAACGCTGGGCTATGATTTTTAACTATAGTTTTAATTTATTTAATTTAAAATATACAGTATTCAAATTAGTGGTCGCTTGCCCCAGTATATAATACTTTTCCTTTGACAGTAGAGTCGTGCAGTCATCTATTTAACATATTCCAGAGGAAAAAATTTGGATTAAAATAACATGATTTTTTGTATTGGAAGTTTTATATAGTTAATCGGGGCCTTGTTTCCATATGGTTTTTACAGCTTTTTTCAGATTTCATCTACATAACTCCGTTCTCGAAATTTAGCAATGACAGTCAGACGGCTGGATGGACGCCAGTGGAAATTTATAGTTTTACAATTCCTTTAAATTGCAGCAAAATAAATAAAAAGTCAATAGAAAATAATAACTTACAAACAAATTAGTTGCGATATTGAATATTCTTTCTTCTCTTCTTTCGTTTTACAGAATTCTACTTCAACTTTTATAAATTTTCTTATTACTTAAAAAAAAACAGCATAAATTACAAAATTGAAAATAATTGTAAAATATATTAATTATCAGGTAATAGTTTATGTTTTGATAATGTTATAATAAAGAAATCTTTGAATTATGAAATTATAGTAAATTTTTTACAAATGTTTGAAAACATTTTGTCTAGAATGAGTATTAATTAAATGTTTTGAAAATTTTACTGTAAAGAACTTACGCCATTTTCCAATATTTTCCAAGTCATTTTCACTACAGGAATTTGGAATACAAACATCTAAACGCAACGTGTTTAATTTGCTCAGGAATTGGGATATAGAAGCTGGTTTCTGAAAATGCAAGAATTGTAATTAATTTTTATGTTTTCTGAACAATATTATACTACTTTTATAAAATTATTTCTAGTTTTATTTCATATTATCCTTCATAAGGCTATGTATACCAGCAGTAATGACGTTTACCATTTCGAAACCAGTAGAGAACGCCACATTGACGCTTGATTAGGAAGCAGTAATTCTTAATTCGTTTGATTTATGCCTTTTTAAAGGATGCAAATAATTGATATTAAGCATACCATTAAAAACGCAAAATTCAAAATTTTCGGTTAGTAAAAATCGTTTTTATACTGATAAAGGATTTTGGAATCTTGTTCTATGTAAATTGTAAAAGATACTAGCTATTAAACAGAATAATGAAACAATAAAGCTGTATATAAGAATATCAAATCGTTTCACTAATCCATCTTAGCATTCAGTTTAACCTACTTTGGTATTATTTAATTAATCTTTGCTTTAATTCTGTATGTTCTGTTACTTTGGACTGTTGGAATCCTAAATATTTGTAGAAGTCGCCCTCTTCCATAGATTCAATAACATCTTCATTTCCAAGTGCAAAATCTTCTTTCTTATTTTATGGACTGCATTTTTTTAAGGACTGCATATTTTCTGAAGTGTTTTGCATTTGTCTAGGCCAAATTCTGTTTGTATGTTCTTGGTGTATGAATGTGTGATTTGTAGGAGCTGCTCAGGCCCGCCGTAAGCGGGCGTGCAAGGCGTGCACCGCACGCGGGCGGCACGTTCAGGGGGCGGAAAATCGAGCGATCGGTCACGTAATATTCAAAGTCATTGTCATAATACCCACCCTACTTATAGCATAAGAGATGCCTTCGAATGGAAAAAAATATCCGACCGGCGCGCAATTACTATAGTAATACCCCGAACTTACGCGATAGGTGGGACCGAGCGATAACCGCGTAAGTCGAATTCGCGTAAGTCAGGGTATAATTTCGCAATTTGTGTAAAATCCAAGTCGGATGTATATAAGCTAATAAATATTCTCCTTAATCTTATATCATCTTTTGATTCGTTCACAGTTACAAGAAATCACCACATAGAGTCTCTCAAGTCTCCGTAGATATAACAAACACAGAAATAACACAAAATAAATTGTAGCTATATGTCGATTCCGCGCGACACGTCCGAATATGTAAGCCGAACAATAGTGTGGGGAAGTGAGTAATCAAGAGTTGCGTGGCGCTCAAACAAAAGACGCATCGGCGAGATTTGAAAATCGCGTAACTCCGGGTTCGCGTAAGTCGGGGTAGTGTAAGTCGAGGTATCACTGTATACTGTATTCTTATTTAAATTATAGCGTTAACAGCGCCTCTATTGGCATTTATCAGAATTAAGATGCAATGCGAAACGTCTGTCGGCAGGTTGAACCATCCGGCAGCGCCCGAAAGCCAAGTACCCATAGTCGTGCTCTATGACAGAAGTTGACAGGACTGGCAAAAATAGGGAATCCCCACATAGCTTTCTTCTCAATTTGTACTTGTACGTATTCGAACAGATCTGTCGCATATCAAATTGCAATTATTTTGTTAATAATTCTTCTGACATGGGTCTAAGTATAATTAATGATATTTTAATTTGGTTAAAATTTAAATCTGAAGCTTAAAGACGATTCGATTAGTGAAACAGACATTGACGGTATTGATTTGTTTAATGAAATTAATACTTTAAAGGTGCATTTTCCAGAAAACCAGTCTAATGATCCACAAACCCTATTACAATCAGTGGCGTGCCGTAGGGGGGCGGTCCGCCCCGGGCGCCACTTTTTAGGGGGCGGCAAAATTTCACAATAAAAAATATTAATATCTTGTAAAATTTTGAAACATCCTAATCTATACGCCTACGATAGTGCTATCGTCCGAACAGTCCAGGAATCGGCTCGCCGGGTGAACTAGTAACTTTTTCATCCGAGGAGTTCCTGCGAAACCTGTTGACTTTTTTTTTCTTGTACGATTTATTCGCGTTCATGTTGTACGATTAATTCGCGTTCATATACACCACTAATATCCAATAGAACTATTTTAAACAGGTTGCTGCATTACCACCAAATTTTTCGTTGCTTGTTCTGTGACAAAACTGAATTTTGGTTTTTTAAATTGAAATACCTAAATAAGGGGGGCCGAAATTTTCCCCCGCCCCAGGCGGCTGACACCCACGGTACGCCACTGATTACAATATCTTTTTACTAATGATTTAATTTCAACATTTCCGAACACAGCAATAGCACTAAGAATATTACTTACATTGCTGGTTTCAGTTGCATTTGGTGAAAGGTGCTTTTCAAAGTTAAAAATTATTAAAAAAAACTATTTAAGATCAACAATGCACCAGCGAAGACTAAGTAATTTAGCTATAGTTTCAATTAAACATGAAATCTTAGACAGCTTTGGATACAAGAAAATTGACAGCAGATTTCGCAAACATCAAGGCAAGAAGAGTTCAATTTCTGTGAATAAATATTTATATGGTTTTACACTTAAGTAAACAAAAATAACTTAGTAATAATAAATAGTTTTTCTTTGTAAAGTATTTCTTTTCTTTTTTCACACCCTTATGAGAAAACACTAAAGAGCCTTTCTGGCAAGCTCAGCATAGGTAGTTGTAGTTAAACAGGGGGCGGAATAATCGGGATTGCACACGGGAGTTCAAACAGCTAGCGGCGCCCCTGGAGCTGCTGAAGTAGTTTTTGTTTCATGCATAAAGTTTTATGTCGTCTATGTACATGAGATGTGACAGTTTAAACTGCATTGCTTTTCATGTCTGATATTGTAACCATATAGTGTGTTGTTGTTACAGAGGAATCAAGAGGACCCTTGAAAAATTCCTTGCCTAATGAATATTTGGTTTGTTTGTATGGAAGTGTTATATATCCTGAGATGTAGTGTTATTCTTCAGTGCTGCATAGTGTTTTGGAAAAATGCAATGAGGGACAGATGCATTATGTACATGTGTAGAATATGTAGCAGCCAACTGTGTGGAACACTGTCAAATGCTTTTCTGTAGTCTATGTAAACCATGTATATGTTTCTGTGTTGTTCGTGTTCTTGCCATAAAATGTCTAAATCTGTGAGTAAGTTCTTCGCATCCCCTGTGATTTTTACGGCAACCGTTTTGTTGATTTGTAGAAATTGGTAACAGCACTGGACCAAAGAGAAGACCAATAAGTTGTTTGTTCTTTTTCTGTTGGAGTGCCACTGTGCTATGTATCAGTGTTTGTTTTGGTACTAATTTTTCTGTAAAAGACTTTTTCATTGTTTGTAAATAATTTTTTTTGTTGTTTTCGTAGTGTTCATATTTTATATAGTTTGAGTCTATGTGCTTTGGCTGCAAGTTTTTTGTTTTAGTGTATCAATGTATTCTGTAATTTGNAACATGAAATCTTAGACAGCTTTGGATACAAGAAAATTGACAGCAGATTTCGCAAACATCAAGGCAAGAAGAGTTCAATTTCTGTGAATAAATATTTATATGGTTTTACACTTAAGTAAACAAAAATAACTTAGTAATAATAAATAGTTTTTCTTTGTAAAGTATTTCTTTTCTTTTTTCACACCCTTATGAGAAAACACTAAAGAGCCTTTCTGGCAAGCTCAGCATAGGTAGTTGTAGTTAAACAGGGGGCGGAATAATCGGGATTGCACACGGGAGTTCAAACAGCTAGCGGCGCCCCTGGAGCTGCTGAAGTAGTTTTTGTTTCATGCATAAAGTTTTATGTCGTCTATGTACATGAGATGTGACAGTTTAAACTGCATTGCTTTTCATGTCTGATATTGTAACCATATAGTGTGTTGTTGTTACAGAGGAATCAAGAGGACCCTTGAAAAATTCCTTGCCTAATGAATATTTGGTTTGTTTGTATGGAAGTGTTATATATCCTGAGATGTAGTGTTATTCTTCAGTGCTGCATAGTGTTTTGGAAAAATGCAATGAGGGACAGATGCATTATGTACATGTGTAGAATATGTAGCAGCCAACTGTGTGGAACACTGTCAAATGCTTTTCTGTAGTCTATGTAAACCATGTATATGTTTCTGTGTTGTTCGTGTTCTTGCCATAAAATGTCTAAATCTGTGAGTAAGTTCTTCGCATCCCCTGTGATTTTTACGGCAACCGTTTTGTTGATTTGTAGAAATTGGTAACAGCACTGGACCAAAGAGAAGACCAATAAGTTGTTTGTTCTTTTTCTGTTGGAGTGCCACTGTGCTATGTATCAGTGTTTGTTTTGGTACTAATTTTTCTGTAAAAGACTTTTTCATTGTTTGTAAATAATTTTTTTTGTTGTTTTCGTAGTGTTCATATTTTATATAGTTTGAGTCGTGCCGTAGGGCGGTCCGCCCCGGGCGCCACTTTTTAGGGGGCGGCAAAATTTCACAATAAAAAATATTAATATCTTGTAAAATTTTGAAACATCCTAATCTATACGCCTACGATAGTGCTATCGTCCGAACAGTCCAGGAATCGGCTCGCCGGGGGAATAATCTCTGCTAAAAAATACTTGTGCTTTGGCTGCAAGTTTTTTGTTTTAGTGTATCAATGTATTCTGTAATTTGTGTGTTATGATGTTTTGTGCTTGTTTTGATTTTATTGGAAATGCTTTAGAGTTGTTTCTTTAATTTTGGTGTTATGTTGTTTTCAGTGTATTGTGTCAGCCTGCCTAATTGTTGTCTAATATCCTTTATTTGTTTTTCTATCAATATTTTTCTCTGCCAGGCAGGTTGTGATAGAATTGTGTTTTGTTTGTGTCTGTTTGCGATTGTATTTTCAGTCCACAGTGTATCACTACTATGAATGCCTGAGCATTGAATAAACGTAGTGTGGAAGTAAGTGAATATTTACATAATTTAGTGTTTTTCCTACTACATTTGACTTGTTCATTTTTAGTATTCGTGGTCTTTGTGTGGAACCTGTACCTGTATATTTAGTCAGTGTTTTCTGAAATAAAAGTGAAAGCGTATTAACTAAATCTATATCTATGTTATCAGTGGCTTGTGAGGAAGTATCTGTAGTGTCATTAGTAGTAGTAGTTGTGTGTGTGTGTGTGTGTGTGTGCTGTAATCAGTGGATGTTGCTGGATTATCCTGACAGGTTACGTAATCTTTATTAATGTTAAATATTTTTGTCTGTTGATGTATTTGATTTTTTTATACTCTTTCTGCCCTGTAGGCACTAATGGGCCTACTATAAGAGGGTCTCTTATAGCAGGCCCATTATGGGTTCAGCCAGGCTCACAATGGGGCAGCCAAGTAGTGAGGGACAGAACCCTATATATCTGAACAGACCACCCATCGAAGAATTCCTGGGGATTTCTTGACCCATTCGGATTCGTTTCCAGGTCCCCCAGAGCGGTAGGCCGTTGCCTTGATCGCTCGGCCATCCCGCTGTCGATGTATTTGATCAGCAACCTGTTGTTTCATAAGTTCAAGTGTTGTTTGTGGGATTGTTCTTTTTTGATCAACAACCCTTAGTTTGGTGACAGTGAGGTGAAAATATTGTTGTTTGAATCTATTGTGTAATTGTTGTCTGTACGCTGTCATGTTTGTTTCAAAGTCTTGTGATAATATAGTAAGTATGCATGATAAAGGCGTTCATTTCTATTGTCCATTTTATTCGTTGGCATGGTTTTCCAGCTTTTGTGGTCTGTGGATGCATTGCCACAGAAACACCAAGACTACGTTTAGACCTAGATTTAACTTCAAGAAAAGTAAGCTTTTTTAATTAGAAACGTTAACAGACTAATTGTCAAACAAATTTAGAATACGAAAATTTTGTAAAAAAAATGCTTTTAAAACATTTAAAGTATATCCTAATTATAAATATAAAAAAATTTCTACTGCAAGTAGAAAAAAAGCAATTGCTGAGTTTCATTCTCACAATGTCGTAAAAATGCTGTTCATTATTTTAATTTTATTTTATTGAATAAAATAAATCGTTATGTAGACTTGTTTTGTTATAATTTCTAGGTTATGATTTGTATTTGATTTTCAAAAAATTTAGAAAAAATTTACTTTAGATTATTTTAAGTTTATTGACAGTTAACAATTTTTAAATTGTTTTCTGTCTACTTTAACTGGAAATTTAAAAATTGGGAACTATAATTTTTAACCAATATGAATATTAAATAATATACAAGAAAAAACAAAATTCTAAAACGAACTTAATACACAGTGTTTGTAGTAAAACACACCTCTGCTAAAAAATTTTATAAAATGTAGCAGTCAACTGTGTGGAAAACTGTCGAATGCTTTTCTGTAGTTTATATATGCCATGTGTATGTTTCTGTATTGTAATAAATAAATATTTATCTAGAAATTGTACTAAAAAATAAAATTAATTATTATTGTAACTTCTATTAAAATATTTTCCTAATATGATTTTTTTCTTATAGAATATAAACACGTTAATTGGAAAAAATTGTCAACTTAGTTATATGTGTAACATTCTTGATGATAAAAAAAAATAAAATAAATTTAAAGAATTGTTATGGTAAAAACAACATTTACCCCAAATTGTATCGAAACATTACTACTTAATGGTTTTATTATCTAAATGAGTATAAATTAACAATAGAAATAACAATTTGGTACAAAGTTTGCATGATTTTTCAATGTGGCTGATTCTTGCGTATTATCATTACTTTATGTTAATAAAATAACGTAATATATAATTTAATATATTACATATTATGTTAATTAATTAAAATTAATAATACTATTAAACTTTAATGTACAATACAACAAATTATACTGTATTTTACTCAGTTATGTGCATGCTGACTTAAGTTTTTTCAATAAAAATAAGTTATAAAATTATCGTTATATACTCACAAAGAGATTTTTCAATAATTGCACAATTGTGATGTCAGATGAGGATACTCTTTGTATTGTATCCTGTTGTAACTTTGGCAATTTCATAAGAACTGAACAGAATTTTCCTCTGACAACTTTATTTTCCATGGTTTCGATGTCAAGGCATTGGTCATAATCACCTTGCATCCACAGTGTTCCTTTTAATAATCCTGAGGGGGGTTTACCGATAGAATCCAATACTGAAACAACAAACAACTACAAATAAATAAAAAATTTTAGCAACGAATTGCTTAACATTTTCGGAAATATCAAATACTGAAAACATTTGTTATAATATTTTATTTAAATATTCTTATAATTAATTATAGTGAAAACGACGAAAAACCTTAATTTTCATGAAATTTTATGAAAAAATCAAATCTTGATTGTAATTTGATAAAATACAAATTACGAAAAAATTGTAAATGTTAATACATTTACATTTTTTTCATAAAATACATTTCAAACCTGAAAATTAAGATTTTCGTCATTTTCACTATGATTAATTATAAAAAAATTCTTTATTATAGTCTTCATTATGTTCATTATATAAATTCTTAATTTAGTTTGACTTTACTTCAGATATGACACGATCTTCTCTATCTCCCTATTCCTTTGACCTGCAACTATTAATATTTACTTGCATCAATTTTCTTAATAGATAAAGCTTTATGCAAAGTTTCAGAATCTATCCATGAAAAGCACAGGACTTATTAAGCTTGAAAGAGGATGAACAAATTGTGCCCCCACACACATATACTAACATCCATACATACAATAAAAATCCTTTGAATTTCTTAGCATTTTTAGACATTTTAATGTCTCCTGAATCCCAAAATGTAAAAATCTTGAGGGGTCATTTTTGATTGATTGCCATTCTTTCCTTGTGTTATGTATAAAAGCGGAAAAAGAATTTAACTGTTCTCAGCTCTATAACGTTTGCAGTTAAATAATTGTTGAATAAACAATTATGTTGGTCGTGTGCTACAAGAATGAGATGAGGAATTATGGAAGTTATAGCCATCCCCAGTTTAAACATCGCTAGTGTCTTTACATGCACACGCTTAGAATAATTTGTCCAGTATGTGTTGTTATGTTTATCGAGTTTCGATATGAGAAGGATGATCAAGTAAACCATCTCTAAACATAAGTTAACTTGACATTGGACTGAAGTATGTCCTGAAAGTTTTGACTTTTTATTTTTATTAAGAATGACTGAAAATTGCATTGTAAGATTTCACATGATGCAAAGCGAGTTTAAGTAAACGCGTTAACTATTTATAATAAGAAACATTGAGTTCTACATAATAAACATTCTTTTTGATGTTTTCATAAAAAATCAACAGAAAAAACTTAATATAAAAAGTTCAGTTTTACGCTTGAGCCAAGCATTAAAGATTAAACAAAATCATGAACTAACATTTTTTCAACATAAAATGTTTCAGAAATAAATTCAAACTGATGCAAAACGTAAAATTTGTTTAAATACAGTAGAGCGTCGTTTACCCGAATCAATTGGTGACTGGGGTTGTTCGGATAACTTATTTTTCAGATAACCAATTATGTATGGAAAAATATATTAATTTATTCCGTGTTGAAATTTTTCTTTGTTGCGTGTCGCTTCGCGTTGAATTTTCGTCGATGTTAAGCCTAACGAAGACTATTGTATCGTTAAAAATTATTTTTTTATTTTGTACGAACAAAATAAATATATTGAAAAATATAAAAACAATAAAAAGTTATATTTCAGAAGTTGATTTAGAATCAAAAACGTAAAATATTTGAGTAGACATAGCCAAAGATTACAGCGCCACAGCACTGGCGAAAATTTAAATTTGTCGACTGGCATTCCTTTGGATAACCGACGTTTCGGATAACTGACCTTCGGATAAACGACGCTCTACTGTATCGCGTATAATTTAAAACTAGGACATTGCGCTTGTAAGTTCAGACACGAAGTAATTGAGCTGGAGATAGAAAATAAAATCGTTTTTTGCACCTGCCAGCCACAGAGAAGTCGGTCCATGCAGTGTTTCACATGAGAAATTGATTCAAGTACAAAGATTTTTTCTTGGATTAACTCTTCGTAGTTTCTTGTTTATTTTTCTTAAGGCGCAAGTAATACTGTCGTTCCTCCTAAATTCCGGCAAGTAGCATGGACATTATTTATCCCTTTGATTCTACTGTTACTCGAAAACGCAGTCATAAATCCGCATTTTTATCATATTTTTGGATTCCTCTTTGCAATTAACGTAAAATGTCAGTTTAGAAAAATTTGTTGTTATATGTGTCGTCTTCACTAAAAACAGTGTCATGGTAGCTTGACGTTCCGGCACTGGAATATGAATAGCTAATGAACGTTCGCTTCGAAGTTAGACAAGAAAGGTGATTTATAATGTGCAGTAATATTTTGCTAATAAAAAACGGAAAGATAATTGATATTGCCGGTAAGGTATGTTCCTACATGAGATGTTCGCTAGTAATCACTATTATTAATGAAGAAATATGTATTATATAGTTGGGTGAATGAGTAGCACGCTGTATGAAAATGCTGTCAAAAGAGCAACTAATATGTAAGCCCAATTGGAAAAGGCAGATCATTAATAATTCGAATAGACAACGTTGTAGAACAACTGATAATTAATAGATCACCTAGGGACTGTTCTGAAATCGTAGATGAAGATATAATTCCACTGTCAGATTGATATCATAAAAGTAAAATTAAGTATTTTTTAGTACCAAAGAGTACTGGTAAAGAGTAGCTAAGTCAAACTTATATCTAAACTTTTAATAAAACAATTATTCGCTAATATATATTTCCATATAGAAAATAGAAAGTACGTTAATAGTTGTTAAATGCATGATTCTTTGATTCTTTACACTTAATGCATGTAATAAAAAAGTCTAGGAAGAGGTTGAGTGAAGTGACTTACATAGCACAGGCATTGAAAACTGTGTGGAGCCATCTGTTATGATCTTTTATTAAAAACTGCTTAAATTTTTGTTAATTATTATATAAATGTAAAAGGCTTAATTTTGAAAAAAAGAGATGAATCTAACTAAAAAAATTTAAATGTCAATAACGAATAAGATCTTTTTAAGACCCAACTGGATATATGACCCACTTTTCATCTCTTTGATTTTCAACTACGAAATTCATTGGCGTCAATTTTCTTATATAGAAACTTCCTTGCAAAATTTCACAAAATTTTCGAATAAAGACACAGAAGTTATTTATTAAGCTTCAAAATAAGGGAACGAACGCGCTCCCTCCACACACAGCATTCATACATGTGGAAAAAATCCCGAACTCATTTGTTTCAAAATCCTCCAAATTCGATAATATATCATACAAAGGGGATTATTTCTTGATCAATCACCGTACTGTCGTCTGTTATACATAATAACTGGAAAAGTAATTAACACAGTAAACGAGAAAATTGTGCTTCCGTCTATCGAAAAGGCAAAATTCCCACCCTGCTTGATATATTAATTAAGCGAGAAGTGCTGGCATAATTTGTGAATAATTTGATTACTTTAACTCGAGCAATATTATGCGTGACGTTTTTATCGAGTCTATATTTCTCCGGTTAATATTACGCTTTTTCGAAGATAATCTAATAATTTAAAATTAAAAAGAAATTTCTATAATAACGTTTAAGTTTAGTTAAATGTAACGTAGAGCTAAGCTTTAGCAATAATTTTACAGAAATATTATTAATATACACGCAAAATTAAATACATAAATTTAGACATTCATAATATAAACAAAAAGTAATGTTGGTTTGCTTTAGGCCAAAAGTTTTGTTTTATATTAAAAATTATCATTTATTTTCTGTAATATGTATCGTAAGAAAACAGTAATATTAAGCAAGAAAAATTAAAATCTACGTTGATATTACAAATTTTTTAAAACATACTCACAGCTGAACGTCCAGACTTTCATTTTCATCAAATCTTGCACGAATCGCATAAAACTACTCTTACACGAAAAAGATAATGTCACCTCTTCGGACATCTTCAACATGTAAGGTAAATTAGACTTGACTACGGATCTTATTAATGTTTTCATTTTTCGATCCATATCTTTAATAAAATGTAAAACTTCTTCACTTTCGTTTCGTGGTTGAGTTTCGTTGTCAAGTGATTCATTTACGGATAACAAATACCCAGGAAACACTAACGAAAATAGTAAAATGGAAAGTGGAGAAAGTATGCTTGTACGCATTTTGTGACTGTGTAAAACTGATTCAGTATTGTTCAAGCTTACACAAGGAGACTACAGGAAAATTTTTGTGATATTGACTATTTATTGATAAGGAAAAAAATTTTATTCCGAATTGTAAACAATAGAATAATTAGACAGAATTTTTGAACTAAAAAGTAATATTACATGTAAGAAAAAGTGCATAAATTACTGACAGATTAAATATTAATAATAATTATTAAAAACATTATTACAATATAGTTAATAAATAATGAAATAAATTTTTGTTATAGTTTTTAATTGTTCATTCAATTTTATTTTTATTTAAAAACTTCGATGAATTTAAGTGATTAATTAAAATTTTTTAAGAATTTAATTAAATTTCTCATTTAATTTTTAAAATATTATTTAAGAGTATTTATGTTTTCGTTGTATAAAGTGCATGATAGCAATGCTTCATTTAAGAACACAACAATTTAATTTTGTTAATTAATTAATAAAATTAAGTTGTTCTGAATATTAATTTTGTGGTTTAGGTATAAAATATGTTTATAGGGTTTAAATGTTTATTGGATTACTCAGACTTTAAGATACTTATCCAAAAGTATTTTCGTAGTACAATACAGTTCCAAGTAGAATAATTGTTAGAAGTTCGTTAATTTTCAGCGACATTGTCTACAATAAAAATTTTATAGCAATTTCTAATTTTTCTTATTTGAACTTATAGCAAAACCTTCCTGGGCTTGGTTGAACTTACTATAGACTACATAGAAAATTACGTTTTGTAACTTTGAAATAGAAAGAGTAAAGACAATATCCTGTTTTTCACTATCAGACAAACCCAATTGCAGGGAATAACAAAAAAGCACTGTATATATAAAATAAAACTCCTGATACCATCCATGGGGTGAATATAGTCGAATATTAAAACAAAACGAATCCAGCAACGAATTGCGTAATTCCTCAGGTGTTATGAGAATATATTTTAAAAAATAACGTTTATATTATTAATCATAACAAATAAAATAATATGTGGTACTATGCCTTAGGAGATTTTATTATAAAAATGTTTATATTATTAATTATTATCTAATGGCAAAAAGCTTACTTTTGAGACAACTGTTAAATTTTATTTTTAAAAAATTTAAATACTAATAACAAGTGAAATTTTTATGAAAATCCAACCCCTTAGAAGTTATGACAAATGAAAATTCCCTCTATTTCTTCACCTTCTTGACCTTTTACCAAAAAATTTAATAGCATCGATGCCTTTATATACAATCCACCCTACCAAATTTTGATTTTTAGTGTTTACCCCGTATTGAGCTATTATACGAAATAGCTGACAATCATACAACACGCACAGACATCCACGAAATTTTTTGCTGTTTTTGACTTTTTTGGATTCAAGAAAATTCAGAACGTGAAGATATGTAAAAAACTCGAAGGATCAAATCTAATACGATTTCCATACTTTCCTTTTTTTATGTATACGTAACGACTGAAAAAATAAAACTGGGTTTAGATGAAATTAGTTTAATTTTAAATTTAAATTAATAACGTACGTTTCAATTTTGCATTTTAACTTGAAAAGGATCGATTATTCAGTTGCAATTCTTTCGAAATCAGATATGTTCTATATTTGAAACTTGTGAGACATGTCTTGAACGTATAAACACGATTTCAGCATGAAAATATTTTGATCGTAAACTTCTGTGTAATTAGAAATCTTCTGTGAAACGATTAATGTTCTATTTGTATACGAAAATTTATAAAAGATCTCTATCTCTGGTCTCGGCATTTAACTATCTAACTGCGTTTTCGAGATTACGAATAGACAGCAAACAAAACAGTAACTTTATAGATATACATTTTTTTTTTAAATTGCAGCCCAATAAATACTCTCCATTAACTGAGTGAATAAACCCGCGGAAGGTGTCAGTCGTGAGTTTCTGCGACGCCAACAGACTAACCACATGGAATTTTCGGGGGTTTTCTTTGTTTTATTAACACCTAAATAGGAGACTGCTCTACACAAAAGTCTTACTGAATTTCATTCTCCTTAACGGATCGCTTACGTCGTCGTAACCAAATAAACAAAACCAATTCAAATAATATTTCTATAAACGCGATGTTTACAAAGACCTACTTCCACGAAACCTCGATACCTCTCACCTACCTTGATTTTTTTTCTCCTTAGTAACTCATAAGCTCATGGCCTTAAATTTATTTCACGTATCAGTGATACTGCATAAAGAAAAGTTTTAATGTTCAGCTAAATTAATGTATGTTCAACAAAGTAGAGCTAGAAGTCTCTTTATTACTCTGTGCCGATATTTATTTTTCCTCTTTATTATCACGGTACTGCAGTTGTAGTCTGTATCATGTGCACTTTATACATATGCTGAGTCTTACTGTTAAATCTGTTTACAATATTCTTATGCCAAAGTTACCTATACTTAGATGTTCTTGCTGAGCTTTATTTTCCAACCCGTTTTCAACAATTTTTGCATCAGCAATTATTCTCTCATTTCTACAGGGTTGTTTTTTTTATTGAAACAAGTTTTATATGAAGTATTTCGGAGGGTAATTTTAGCAACTTCGATCACTTGCGAGGCAATCACAACCTATCCAACACGGATCACTTTTCAAATATTAATAGCATAACGGTATTAAATAGTAGTCCTTAACCCTCCTCTATTCCAGGAAGAGACCAACGACTATTTTGGTCAAATTAACTTCAATCTCTTTTTGGAACAGTCCTATCTTCGAATTGGAGCCATTGGTATGGTAACATTCGAATAAGAAAATTAATGTATATAATGGAAACCAGGCGAGGTTACTTGCCTACACTAAGTATGTTTTAAGTGGTTTTCCGAGATGCCCAGTTTAAATATTTGGACGGTTTTTTGCGAAATTTGATTCGTTGGCGAAATACCATGCCAATGAATAGTCGGTTGTGAATGAAAGTTTCTTAGAGCTAACATTAGGAAAAAGTATGATACGTAAACAATTTAAGGTATGGCATATTCAATTAGTGTCTACTCGACAAATGAAATGTGCCATTTCGTACCATTCGAATATCGGATAAAGATAATAATGATAAGCTGAAAAAAACAAAACTCATTATATCAGTTTAAATATTCGTTATATCGTAGAATTTAATTTATACAAATACAAAGGTTATGTTACGTAACGGTTTATCATATCGAATGACCAATCTAACTCATTGTAAAATTCTTATGAATTGTATACAGCAGCGGAATAAAATATTTTATACTGTGTTAGATTGATCATTTGGTACGATAAACCTTTACGTAAAATACCTTTGCAGTTATATAAATCAAATAGTATAGCATAATATAATAAAATAGTTAAAATTACAAAATAATCTCATAATCTTAAGATTTATTCTTATTATTTACCTGGGCAACGCGGCATTACCTGCTAGGTTTTCTATGTAATCAAAGCTTCTTATTATTCTGAAATTTAATGACTGTTGTTTTACAGCAGAGATTTTTATTGAGATATTAATTCATTACACTTGCTTTTATTAATAAAATGAAGTAATTAAACAAAATATGAACAAAATTTCAATAAAATATTATAAATGAGAAGCCAAGCCATTACAGAAATTAATGTCACAGAATAATAAATAGTTTATTGTTCGGTTTATAAAAATATAAACACTTTTATCAATTTTTCCCGAAGCCTGAAAAGATTATATCAGTTGGATTAAGCAAACAATTCTTGGAATATTAGGTATGTCCATTGTCTTTTCTGGCTATATAAATCCTTTTATATAAAAAATAAAGATTAGAGATATTAAAGTCACGTATAGATGATGAAGATTAGAATTACGATACTCATTTCGACTTTACTGTTTCCATATACTTACCTTTATCAATCACAAAAATTAATCATGATATTATGGTTTCAAGTTAAGGCAGAAAAATAAAAAGTTATCCTCTCCTTTCTTTTTGCCTTAACTTGAAACCATAATATAAAATTTAAGATATCATATTTATATTTTCAAATCTTGTTATAAAAATATTCAAATTTCTATTTATGTTTTGAATGGTTTTTTTTCTAATAATCTCTCAAAACTTTAAATTATTAGAATTTATAATTCTGCCTGTATTCATGCTGTTAACCAACCTGAACATAAAAGTCATGTATCAATATTTATTAATGTAGTACACAAGTATATAAAATAAATTTGATCTATGCTGAGTAGATACTTGAAATTGCAATTTTGTCAGTCTCAAGCAAATTTAAATGTTCAAATTATGATTAATGTTTATATATATATATATATGTTGAAAAATAATTCACGAAATTTTACTATCATCTTGAAAGGACATGTGGCACCAATTTGTAATTTCTTAATCTCTGTTCTTTTGTCATGTAAATGTTGCTTCTGCTACAGTATAATTATTTTAGCAATTTGTTTATATTTTATCTTCTATGTTTTAAAGAAAGATTACTTTGTGTTTTACTGTTCAATTTCTTTTCAACTTTTAAATTTATCATACAGGGTTTCATTAATATGATGTCTTAAATTTCGTGTTATGGTTCCAAGATAACTCAAAAATGCTGAAGATAACTCTTTCATGTATTATGTAGAACAAGGTAAATCACATGATTATGGTTAGTTGGAATGTACTGATTCTGCCATAATTATTATTATTCTATTTTTAAAAAATGATTGTTAAGTATTCAAGGTTCAAGTAACAGAATTTAATTAGGTGGAACACATACAATAAATGATTATAATCTTATGTATTATTCTGATAAGTAAGAAATTATCTTGAAGCTGGATGACTAAAAGCATAAATTTTACCTGAAGAGTAAGAGCTTGTATTTGCTTGGATTTGGGTAATTAAATTCAGCAGCACTTAAGAATATAAATGAATGATTTCAATTCTTTCAATTACAAAATGAGCCATAACACAAGTAAATAATTTATTGTTATTTTA